AGAGAGAGAGAGAGAGAGAATTAGAGTTAGAGTTAGAGTTATATATTATAGAAACAAAGATGAAAAAGTTATATTGCCACTTGACTTTTTAATGTTTCTTTATTTTGGCATGGAAACACTGTGAAACTTATGAACAACTGTGACAGAGATCCTTGGCAGTTTTAATTATACAAGACACTAATTGATATCATTTCTGTCCAGAACTGCTCTTGTGTAATCTCTGAGTTGAACACTAGATTTTACTTGAATACAAGATGTGTCACACATACAGAGCAAATAGTTTCAAAATAATATTATTCGGTTTTTCTAACAAATATTACATCTTTTTATTGATTTTAATGTAGCACTATGGTGAATAAAATCGCAAGCCACAATCATTTTAAGTTCAAAGTGCTTGATAAACATTTATGTAGAATTTTATCACACCAAATCTCTATTAGTTTATATCACTGGGACAATGTGTGACAATTAAATGGCAAATGTAAAATTTGTATTTGTTATTGTTGTGTTTTTATTTGCTATTGCAAAGCAAAGCAAAAGACCAAACAGAAAATCTACCATTTTCATTTCAAATTACACATTTCTTGATAGAAGATATTGTTCAATGAACAGTACTCAAAGCACATGAAAAATCAATCCTGGGAATAGCGTCATGCATTTTTCAATCTTTTTATGCTGTTTTCCCAGTGTATTGACTTTCTGAAATAAGTTAACAGCACACTTTGTCAATGGCACAAACATTCAAGATTATAGCAGAAGTGCGTAATGATATTCTAAGAAAAGCTTAAGGACTTACTTGGTTCTTTTTTACTCTGCATTAATAGACTGCTAGTTTTCCTCACCTATTATTTCCCAAACTCTCAACTGTGTATAATTGTAGAGCATTGCTATTCTTTCATTACTTGACTCCTATGTAAGCAAAACCAATCTCAAAATACTTACAAGGCCAAAGCTGTTATTTTCAATTTTTCTTCAAATTATCTAAAACATTCAATTCATCTTACTCTAGCCCATTGATTAAGTGCCGTTAAGTTGGTATTGAATCTTGCTGACCGCATAGGTTGTCCATGATCGCCTGGCTCTTCAGGTCTTCCAACAAGGCACCTGTAATCATCTTCTTTGTTGCTAGTGATCTTGTTTTCCTTCCCCCACCCCCACCCCCACTTTTACCAGCATTTTAGGCTCCTTGAGAGAACCAAGCTAAAACTAAGAAGACATTTCCTGATAGCGGGAACAATTAATCAGAGAAATGGATTGCCTCCAGAAGTTATGGGTGCTCCATCACTTGAGGTTTTTAAGAGTAGATTGGACAACCATTTATCAGGAATGGTATAAGATCTTCTGTTTGAGCAGATGATTGGATTAGAAGACCTCCCAGGTCCCTTCCAATTCTGTTAATATAATGTCTTCGTATAATGTCTCCAAAATATGATAATCTGAACCAGATCCTTTTCTGCTTTCAGTGAGAAATCTGAATGGATTTAGCAATAGCAATAGCAGTTAGACTTATATACCGCTTCATAGGGCTTTCAGCCCTCTCTAAGCGGTTTACAGAGTCAGCATATTGCCCCNAGCTGGGCAGCATGCATGTACACAACGAAAAACAGAAGACAAGCTCTTCCGGTTTCCAGCACTGCCACATGTGCAAAATTCAGCTGATACTTGCGTGCTAGAAACCAGGGAAGGACCGGGCGACGTTGTGTGTGCCCTCCAACATAGCTTTGTGTGCCACTTGGGGCATGCGTACCATAGGTTCGCCATTATGGGTTTAGGAGATTCCTATAATGATTAGCACTTTGGATTAGATGGCCTCAAAAGTACCCTCCAACTCATATATTCTGCAATGCTCAGACGCAAATAAATACTTTTAAGATCCCCGTTTGGGCAATTTCTTTTGTGTGTAAAGAATCAGGACAATACATTAAGTTGCAATTCAGAAGAGGTATCACTCAAGCCCATACGTAACCTGATCAACTAAAGTTCAACACTAATTTGGCATCAGGTAAGAATTCAAGAGGGGTTGGGCTTCAACCCATGATGGCAAACCTATGGCACATGTGCCAGAGGTGGCACACAGAGCCCTCTCTGCTGGCACGCCAGCCGTCCCCCCAGATCAGATCTCTGTGGCGTTTCTTTCATGAGCTTCTGTTTCCCTGCAAACGATGAAACAGAAGCTCACAAAAGAAAAAGATCTCACCTCTTGCTGCGCTACCGGTGTTGGGATGCCCTACCTCCCGCCGGCCAGCTGGTCTTCAGGTCTATGTTGTGCATGTGTACATGCATGCATTAGCATGCATGCGCAACTTTCAGTTTGGGCATGCGTGCGTGCGGAGTTTGGGCAATCAGTGGATAAAAGGTTCGCCATCACTGGTTTAGACCCTTTGTGGGAACGTAAAGACTATAGGCTAATGACTTGTTTAACTCCACCCCCAGCTCTTTTTCTAAATTTCCAATTGACGTTCAACCTAAGAACACTGCCTACATGTAAAGCATTATATTCTTCTGGCTGGTGCTCAGCGGGAAGCCCTAATGAAGCTTAGCTCAACCCTGTAATAAATGTCCAAGCCATGTGGGCAAAGTAATTCATGAGGAGATCTCGGGTTATGGCAATTCCTTGCCCATACTTACGCCGTACTCTGGTTTAAAGAAACCCTGGCTCTCCCACCATGAATACCAAGCTGCTTCGACATACTGCGGGCTGTAAGAGTCAGGCATTGGACCCGTCACATCTAGAAAGCAAAAAAGGTTCTGAGTTCAAGGCAAGTCGAATGTTGTGCTCCCACTGTTCATTGTGAGCCACCGTGAAGTATAATCCAAAATGTATGGAGAACATCAGGGTCAGCAGAAGAGAAAGGGAAAGGATCTCATGCAGAAGATAGCAATGGTTTTTGCCACAGGCCTTGAGAACGGCTGCCATCTACTAAAAGTCTCACCACCCTTTTGGTCTAATAACCCTGGGTTGTAAAGAATTCTGAATCTGAAATGCTTGAAACCAGCTGCAGATAGTCCTTGACTTACAACTGTTCATTTAGTGACCATTTCAAGTTACAATGGCACTGGAAAAAAGTGACTTATGACTGTTTTTCACACTCATCACCATGGACATGGGGTTGAAATTCTGAGGCTTGGCAATTGACTTGTATTTATGATGGTTGCAGGATCCCGGGGGTGGGTGGGTCATGTGATCCCCCTTTTGTGACCTTCGGACAAGCGAATTCAACGGGGAAGCCCGATTCACTTAACAACCGTGTTACTAACTTAACAACTGCAGTGTCTCACTTAACAACTGGTGGCAAGAAAGATTGTAAAATGGGGGAAAGCTCCTCCCTTGATAACTCTCTTGCTTAGCAATGGAAATTTGGGGTTCAATGGTGGTCATAAGTCAAAGACTACCTATATTCTGACCTTCTATGAAGTGTTCTGACCATTCTGGAAACAGTCTGTCCTTGAAATGCCCCCCAATTTGAATTGAGATAAATTATTTCAAACTTATGTTTTGATTTTCCAACGTTACCGAAAAGAATTGGAAAAGTGGTGCAATACAGGATGGGCCAGCTGTTCCAAGCACAAAGCAGGGCATTTAAATGAGTTCACTGAAGCCAGGCATGCCACAATTCCACCAACAGACTGTTGACCTGCAAACCCCTCCGAATCCAAATCAATCAATCAGAGACAGCACCGACCCTCAGCCACGCAAGACCCTCCCCCAATAGCAGTTCACATCCCAATGACCCTGAGCTGAGGTAATCTCCCCATCACGAGACCCGTCCCAAGACACACCCACACCTGAAACTCTTATAAACAAAAGAACTACTGACATCCCCTAAACTCCGTTGAAGTTTTCCATTGAACCCACACTGCATATCGGACATCAACACAATTGGTGAGTCCAGAGATGTTTCACGAGAAAAGTCCTCCACTCCTCTGCTCGCAACTGAATACCTGATGCCACCAGACTTGAAATTTCTGGGATTAGACAATTTAGAACTACACCACCTTTGGTGTGACCTAAGCGGAGTACATAAAATTATCTGCTACAATGTCCTACCTGTCAATGACTACTTCAGCTTCGACCACCACAATATATGAGCACATAATAGATACAAACTTAAGGTAAACCGCTCCAAACTCGACTGCAGAAAATACGACTTCAGCAACAGAGTAGTCAACGCCTTGAATGTGTTACCTGACTCAGTGGTTTCTTCCCCAAATTCCCAAAACTTTAACCTTAGATTGTCTACTGTCGACCTCACCTAGTGGTGGGATTCAAATAATTTAACAACCGGTTCTCTGCCCTAATAACCAGCTGGGTAGGCATGGCTCGGTGGTCATGTGACTGAATGGGCATGGCAACTTGATGTCACTCACATTGATGGGCGCTTCGCCTTAGCTGTAGCAATGTAATAAGGGTTAACCGAAGAGGCAGTTTCTGTAAGCAGGGCAATAAAGATTAGGCTAGAAACANTGCTGTACAAGCTGTAAAGTGCCTTTTCCCCTGACCGTTGCAGCCCCAAACGGTCGTTAAAAACGACTGATCGTTAGTGGAGGGCTTCCTGTAAACAGCTTGCTTCAAACTTCTCAATTTTTAGGGCCAAGACCCTTTTCCTCCACAAGATCATAAGCAACTTGTTAGAATCAAAAATTCTTCATCACGATGCAGAAGAACGGGAGTTTCCAACCTTGGCAGCTTTAAGACTTGTGCACTTCAACTTCCAGAATTCCCCAACCAGCATGCGCTAGCAGAGGAATTCTGGGATTTGAAGTCCACAAGTCTTAAAAGTTGCCAAGGTTGGAGAGCCCTGTACAAGAAAACAGTACAGCTACTATACTTCTTGTAACCTCTTCTATTTGTCCTTATTAATTTCGCCAAAGAGATTTGTGCTTGGAAAAGATATATTTGGACTGGGAAGCTCTCAAAAATCTAGTGGAAGATGGAGAAGGCCCAAGATAAGGCCCAGAGGGGTGGGGGGGATGTACCCAGAAAGGCAGAGATATCTCACCATCTTGTCAGAGAGTCCTGGATGGAATTGGTGAGGGCATGGCCGAGATGGAGCGATCCGGTAACATTGGGTGGAGGAATACACATCATAAAGATGCCTTTGGGGTTTGGCTCAGATACGCTGCGGCGCTGGGGGGAAAAAGATGGTTTAGTGGTGAGATTTGCAGTGAGGAGGGTCTTCCAGGTAAAGAAGTTTATCTGCTAAGGGGGAAGTTATCCCATGCGATTAGCAGTAAAAACACAGAGGGGAAAAAACTGATAGCAGAAAAAGACCTTGTGGTCCTGTCAACTGTTCTGTTGGCCTATTCAGCAAAAGAAATTCCCGGGATATTATTTTATCAAAAGCATAACTTTACTGATCAATCCATACAAGTACAGAAGAAGCAAAGCCAGCTCTGAAATATTCCCGCGAAAACTTAACTACAGTGTTAAAATTCCCCTTTCCCCTCCCCTGAGCCAACCACTGTCCATTCTCCACCAATCCAGAGCATACTTTTTGCTTTGGGGAAACAGTTTGCTCAGCTCAGAAAGTTCTCATTGTTTGACCTTGAGGTGTCGAGATTCTCCCAGGCTACAGACGGAGCACATGAATGCCTCAATTCCTTCCCAGCCACCCATACCTTCCAATTATACCGCACCCTCCTCCATGTTGTCTGGCTGCGAGCAAAAGTTCACAGCGAGTCGGCCATGGCAGCTCCAACGAATCTGCCCTTAGAGGGTTTTTAAATTTAATTTAATTTAAGTCAGACGATAGGCATGTGTCTGTCCCAGGCATGGGTTTACACTGGCACATTCACAACCGGTAGAATCACAAGAGATATGTGAGCAGGATGAAAACTTGCAAGATTTTACTCCCTGGTGGGATAAGGAGGATCTTCTAGGTCAGGGTTTACCAAACTGTGAGGAGAACCTCCCTTAGGAAAGTGAGACAAAATCCAGGAGAGGTCTGAAGTACTTTTAGTTGTATATTAATAACTCTGTCAGACCCAGACTTAAGTAGCGTAGTGATTCTTCCAAGCGGAGTCCTTTATTGTTTTCCCACCTGTAGACAAAAACTGGCCAAACTAAAGACTCTACTACCTGACTACAAGTACTGAATAACATTAGGTTGCAGCAGCTAGTGCGTGGAACAGAGTCTTAGTAAAGCAGTGCTAGAATCCTCTACAAACACTGGAAGTGCGTACATGAAGGGCGGATCACCACCTGTCAGGAATAGTTTAGGACAGTGATGGCAAAACTTTTGGCACTGAGTGCTGAAAAGGGAGGGGGGCCTGCGCGCATGTACGCATGGGGGACGCGCCCCGGAAGAGAAACTCCCTAGTAGGCATGCACGCGCCAGAAAATGAACTTCTGGTTTCCACACACGCATGCGCCCCAGCCAGCTATCTTCCGGTTACTGGGGCGCATGCACAGACGACAATCAGCTGGGCAGCATGCATGTACACAACGAAAAACAGAAGACAAGCTCTTCCGGTTTCCAGCACTGCCACATGTACAAAATTCAGCTGATACTTGCGTGCTAGAAACCAGGGAAGGACCGGGCGACGTTGTGTGTGCCCTCCAACA